GGTCTCTAATTAGAGATTACAACTTTTCAAATCTACAAGAAATAACTTTCGAAAAGGTTTTTTATCCTATTCACGTCACATAGTGTTAGATAATACATAGAAAAACAATATGATCGAAGTATTCCAACCGAATCGAGCCGGCCGACATTTTAACACCTTTTGTTGTAAATATATTTTCCAGCTTAAGCAAGCGTCGCTTTACTATACGAAGCTTTAGGACTTTTGAACCTCAATGCAAGGAATATCTCTTTCAAAGTGCAACTCCAGCATGGTTGGACGCAATGAACAGGAGCACACAAATTTAGTAAGTTTTGCAACTCCTCCTATGTTTAAGCAACCTGTTACTTTAGGAGACCTGTTCTTTATGCTGTCAACAAAACTAACACTCTTTTCCGTTTGTTCCCTTGAAAACGGTGTAAGATAAGTACAGTTCAGAAACACCTTGAAAAGAGCTTGTCCCTTTAAAAATTTTCGAAAAAGATCAATCTTGATATGCCGATTCCAATTCAATAATGAAAAATTAAGGTCACCGAGCTCGTTCTTGAGTTACAGGAGCATACCACTAAAAATTACGAGTTTTCTACGAAACTACATTGTTCCTATGGTAGCCTTATGACTCAAAAGAGGTTCTCAACGGGTTGAGAAATAATTGACGATGTTTTGAAACCATTTTCAATGAAACTAACAAATACGAGTAAAAGTTACTATCAGTCAAGGAAAACGAGTTAAACTGTTTCGAGCCACTTTAGCTGAACAACACAATACAAATTCAATTCGCCATTCATAAGAGAAAGGACGTTTACAGCACAAAATTAGTAATTTTACAAAACTTATTAAAAACAGTATTGTAATAGATGGCAAGGGAGCCTCCAGAAACCACGGGGCTTATGCGAGGGAGGCATTCAAGCTTGAAAAGAAAAAAAAAAGAAACAAAACATACGTCTATGTGAGCGGCAAGCCAAACCACCAATCTTAAAAGTCCGTATATCAATCGAGCACTGATTGCATGATTTTAATCGGAGTCGATACTTGTGTTTGAGAACAGAAGAAACCCGTATTTAGTGGAAGCCCTTGCGTACCTTGTTAGTGTACGCCTATAACAATGTGTCCACTTAGTGCAGGTTATAATTTAAGCAGTTCTAACGAGCCGGAGTAGTCGGTCTTTTCAGCCTTCACATTTATAATATGCTACTTACCTAAATCAGTATTTCTGAGCTCTGCACAGTCTGTGAAGGCGGAAGGCTATGAAGCTGGTAGTTTCGTTTACGATTCATTTAGTTTCGTTTAAGATTCAAAACCTGTGGCTTCTTTCTCTGCGTTTAACTATTAAGGCCAAATTTGTAGCTCACCCCCCTCCGGTGGAGGGATGGGCTATGAAGTGAGACATATTTTTTTTCCCTATTTCTTCAATCAGATATGTACAGTCTCCTTTCTTTCAGGCGCAGTCTCTACCCCGCGTCATAGCAATCAATGTTGGTGGATACTATTTTGAGACTAAGTTGTCTACATTGACCAAGGATAAAGACTCTATGTTAGCCGCCATGTTCAGCGGCCGGCATGAACTGGACACGGACAGTGAAGGGAGATATTTTATCGACCGGGATGGAACGTACTTCAAAGAAATCCTGAATTATCTTCGAGACAGTACGCAGCTGCCAAACGCTGACAGAGCTCTCGAGGTAAGAACTTTACAGTCATCTTGAGCCTTCAGGCAAGGAAGATGTATCTTTCTTAAGGTTTCGACTGACGACAGTCGTTTCCAGTTTTATAAGTATTTTTCTGGAATTATAAGAGCATAGAGACCTTGTTTACATGCTTCCAATTCTTATCATTAATATTATTATTATTATTATGATTATTATTACTAAAGCCATGACAATGTCGAATCTCTTATGGTGTATTCCCATTCAGGTAAAAAAGGGTAACGGCCTCCACATTTCACCATAACTGAAGGCGAATGGAATTGAAGTGTTGAAAATTCAGCGTGCTTCTTAAAGGCTAAATGAGTATTTCATTATTGCAGGTTTACAAAGAAGCGCAATTCTACCAAGTACAAGGCCTGATTGACACTCTAGATCGTTTCTCAAACGTCTTTGCACATAAACTAGAAGAGGCAAAGAAATCTAAGCTGGGAAGCGATTTTGAAAAGTGGCAACAACAGATCATCACTTGCGCACAAAACAAGAGTCTTCAAAACTTGACGTCAACAAGCAAAGTGAGCCTGCTGTCGCAAGAGGATCATAAAAAGGTTATGGAATGCGGAGACTGCATTGGTCCGCATGCGCACAATCTGGTAGTATCCAAACCTGCTACACAAGGAGTTGTTCATCACCAGGAGACATTTGATTACGTACAGCGACGGTTCAGGGAAACTGACCTTGTTGTTTGTATTCTATCGAACGCAGATATGAAAATGTTCATAAGCATCACCGAGGCCGACTTGAAAAATAATGGCTACTGCGTTAGCTTTCGTGAGGAAAAAATCCGCTGCAAGAATGTCAAGCTGCATTATGGGATAGGGAAAGAGGAGTGTCGATTTAACGTCACGGAACACGTGGTCGAGTTTGAATGGTAAATAGGCTACCTTGACTAGCGTTCACGAACCCCGTGGGGGTGGGGGGGGGGATGTTCCCCATTTTATGTTCTTCCCCCTCCCCCATATCAAGAAGTTCCTACCCCCGTACGCATTCCCAGGTTCCTCCTATCCTTTATCGTTTTGAGCTCCTACTCTCCAGTCCCCCTCCACCTAGGGGTAGTCTATAGAAAAGGCGTCATTTTTGCGTGTTTCAGACAAGCACGTTGGAAACGCGAAAGGCGAGACAATCTTCGTGCGCGACTTGCTCCTCGCGCTCGACTCGCATCAACTTCCGCTCGCCTGATACGCAAGAAAAGAAATACAGCTTGTTCCACAGAATTCTTTGTGGTGTGAGGCTGAAAAATGGATTGCTTTATTTAAATACGTTTACTGGAATTCCCCTCTAAGACCTCAATGGAGGCGTGTCAGGAGACTATGGATATTTAAGTGAAGCAAGCGAATAAATGAAGATAACGTTGAAATTTAAGTGTCGTGGTTTCCCAGATACCTAAGTGCGTCCGAAACGATGCTTGCGAAGAACGCTCACTTTACTCATTTAACACAATGGAATCACTTCTGCATGTACTTTTCAGCCACAAAATTCTTTGATTGATCAAGCTATGCTAAATTTTTATGACCAATCTAGGTACATAAAGTTTTACGTAAGTTTTTGCGCTTCTGTTTTTAAGACAACCTGAAGAAAATCCTCAAGAAAAAAGCGGGTTGTTAAAGTCAAATTTAATTTACAGGGAAAAAATCAGAGTTATAGCAGTTAATACATTTCCGTTTTGGTCACTAGAAATGTTCTTTACGGTTAACTTTTTTTACGACTTAGAATTCGTCAATTTTTACACCTAACGGCTTTTTAGTTTGGCCGTTTTTAAGCGATCGGTTAACCATAATGAGCCTCTCATTAATAGCCGCACTTGGCAAAATATTTCCACAAAACTATTCTGACTGTTTCCCTTTATACAGATTGTCGAAATAGTTTTGACAATTTTAAGGTTGAAAATGCTGCTCACCTGTTCACCTTTCCTCACAAATATGAAAAAATAAAAAGTAAAGAGGTACAGTATTCAGCGATAGATGTCTTATCGATAATACGCACGACACTCGAAGTGTTTCCAGAGGGAAGTCGCCATGAATATTGATGATAGAAACTGACTGAACAAAGGTGAATAAGAAGGCTTTTACAGAACCAAATATCTGAGCCGATTGTTTATATACAACACACCTTGATACCATCTTCAGTGCTTAGCCCTTAACACCCTAACATCATTATGAATATTCTCCATACTGTTCTCTTTACATTTCCTGTGGTGCTGAAAAGGAGAATTTGTTTAACACTAAAGAGCTTTTTTAGATGGTGATCATTTCTTTTAAATCTCGTGACCTTAATGTGTGATACAGTAATGATATTGTGAGGAGAAATTAGATGCTAGTCACTGAGGAATATCTAAGAGATTAAACGACTAATATCAGTTAGCTTTATTGACGGTTGAAAATAAAAAAATGGAATATTTTTAAACTGTTAAGTATAAAGATTTTAAGCCTTTTTGATGGTTGAGGACCAGCTGACTTCATTTAAGCGTTCTGTTAAGGTCAGATCATATCTAAACCGGTGTTACGACACATTTCGACTCAAAAATACAATGCAATGTAATATGTTATTGATGTTTCCCAACAGGGGTTTGTGACACTAGTTTTCCAAATTTCAGCCAAAAGCCCACAGAAAAAAAAATAATACCAGTGTATAGTATCATACGAAAGAATCTTACACGGAACTGCACCAGCACTAATAATTATTATTTACTCGCTTACGTTGCTTGCGGTTTTGTGAGCGCTAGAGCGAGGCTACAAGTGGCTTGGGTCTGGAAGTAATATTTACTAAGTAAAGTAAATAATATGGAAGTAATATGGAAGTAATATTTACCTTTCAACGCTCACAGCTTCATAACTCTTTGCTCAGCGCACACAAAACTGTCAGTTACGCAAGCTATGATAAAAAGAAACTGATACGAGAGGTCTTTGTAGGTTAAGCGTTTGAATCTGTTGACGGTTGAAGATTCTCAGGTGTCACTAGCGTCTGTTGTTCTCATTACGCGATATCAAAATAGAGCGAATGAAATCATCGACTTTTTGAGTCTGAGCAGGCATACAGGTTAAACGTTAATTAAGGAAGTGAATGTTTTGATAGTGATCATATTTAAGGTGCAGGCGACAAAAAATAAAACTCAGATATTTCAATAAGCTTTCTTCTTAGTACAGGTTACGTGCAGCAAAAGAGCTCAATTTAATCTGTTTATCTAGATATGGACAAGCTTACGTTGACTTTCCCATAGGAAACAAAATTGATAACCCTGTTTAAATATCGAACGACATTGCCATTTATAGACAAAAAGACCGTTCACGACCATCAGGACCTTTATAAAAACTTGAGCTAACTACATAGTCATATTTAACCGATCTTTGGCTTTCATAGCGATAGAAAGCACATAAACCGTTAAATTCATATTTTATTTAAGAAGCCATCGTGTACAAAAAAATAAAAATAGAAATCCCTTCTTACCCAGTACAGTTGTGAAACTTTTCAACACCTCTCTCTCGTATTTATCTTTGCAGCTTGCGCAAGTCGTTGCTTAATCGATGTATTGTTGCAAACAAATCATGTGAGCAATAGCGTTCTCAAAGACAAGACTTTTAGCTATGGTTGGACACAGTGAAGCAGTACGCACAATCTCGGTAAGTTTACAAGGACATTCAGGTTACTACGCATTTAATTTCCCATGAAAATGTCTGTTGGGGGTAATACTTCCTACCTGAGTTTCTGCGAGGGCGCAAGGATCCAGGATTCAAACCTGGATTTACAACACTTGATTAGAAATTTGAGGAAAAATTGCAACGCGGTACAGGTAAAGACTGATATCTTTGGAAAGCAAGCATCGAGTACGACTCCATTTTCGACTTATCGTGGGCATACTTAGCCCATTGACCTCGCGATTAAAATTGATAGTGTCGGATACCGAAATAGGGTTGTCTTCGGAGTAGGTTCTTAAGATGACACGCCAGCTTTTGCAATCTCTATCCATCACAGTATTTCGGTTTATACGATTCTTTGGGGTGTTAGTTAACCTTGTTCTGGCTTTTGAATCAATCACCTTCATAGTCTGCAATCGTTCTTTGGGATGTCACGCACTTACCCCAATAGACGCGTTTGGGGAGAGCGTTGCGTGAAATTGCCGCTAGAAGCGTGACACCTTGAAGAATGGCTCTGTCAGAGTCCCCTTCAAATAATCTGTTTGAATTTTTGGTATATCTATACTATTATGATATTTCGTGTCTCTAACCTTTCAAAAGTTTAATGAATTTGAATAGAAATTAATCGCGTGATGCCTAGTCTCCAGTCAAAGAAAATGTTCAGCTTCTCTCATCTCTAATAAAAATATTTGTGACATCCGGAGAGATTTTTGAAAATTTCCGGAAATGATTAGGACTTTGAAAACTCTTTTTAATGGTGGCACGGATTACTGATGACTGCAATTAGTTAATCTTTTGACCCGTCACTCGACAACGTTTCACAGACCTATTGCGTTCCATCAAAGAATACCTAAAATTCAGCACATATTTGCGAGCAACTCTTTAAGGCCAGGCTGATCAATGTCGGAAAATATTGTAAAGGACGGGAAGTATATTTTTTAAATATATCAAGAAATTTAGGAAGCAACTATTGAAATTTGGGTAGCAAATTTTCGGAGTTTTAGCAATTTTTTGGCAACTCTTTCCCAACATTTACGAGCACAATCGGGAGAGGCCTAGGGCCCCGCGCGGGGAAAATTCCCGTGATTAGGGCCTGAAAAAGCCGTGAGGCCCCGCGAGATGCAGGTTTCGAGTTTATTAAACAATTTCCACAAGGAACGACGACTTGAATTAGAGAACTGCTAAATGACAATTAATAAGGAACTGTTACGAAACCCCAAGGTTTCTCCTTTACTCCAGCTAATTTTTTCCGTGTGCTTCTTTCCATTCACACAGTCTCAGTTACCCAGGGTGATATCGCTTAATGTTGGTGGATACCACTTTGTAACTACTCTATCCACATTGACCAAGGATAAGGACTCTATGTTAGCCGCCATGTTTAGTGGCCGGCACGAACTGGACACAGATAGTGAAGGGAGATATTTTATTGATCGGGATGGAACGTACTTCAAAGAAATCCTGAATTATCTTCGAGATGGTACACAGCTACCATCTGCTGAAAGAGCTCTCGAGGTAAGTGATGGCTAAATTATCCTTTGATAGTTTTCATTTAAATTACCACATAAATAAAACGCAAAGACACGCTGGGTATCTAATATGTTAGAATAGTTCCTCTCATGGCAACAAGTAAAAAAATCACTAATTAAAAGACTTGCTGTAGAGGAAATGTGTACACCTTCAACATCCAAAAAAGTGACCTTATTCATATTTGAAGAAGACTAGCGGTGTAGCAGTCGAAACGTCGCGCTCAATAAACGATTGATTACCCTCCCCCTCCCCTAGCTGGTAAGAGATAATTGGACTGCCGAAAAATATGGAGTGTTTCATGGGAACTTGGCAAAAGGTTGTAGCAGAAAGGGGTTCCTGACTTCTATCCTGCGCAGTATGGCGCTTAGTCATTCAAAGGGTTCTTAAAGTCAATACTTCATTTCTTATGCAATTGTCTTCAAAGGTTTACAGAGAAGCGCAATTCTACCAAATAGAAGGCTTGATCGACACTCTAGAACGTTTCTCAAACGTCTTTGCGCACAAATTGGAAGAGGCAAGGAAATATAAGCTGGGAAGTGATTTTGAAAAGTGGCAACAACAGATTATCACTTGCGCACAAAACAAGAGTCTTCAAAATCTGACGTCCACAAGCAAAGTGAGCCTGCTGTCGCAAGAGGATCATAAAAAGATTATGGGATGCGGAGACTGTGTTGGTCCGCATGCGCACAACCTGATCGTTTGCAAACCCGCTAAACGGGGATCAGTGCAAATTCACGACACGTTTGAAAATGTGCAACGTCGCGTGAAAGAAACAGAACCTGTGGTTTGTCCCTTAAAAGATGCTGAGATGAAAGCTTTTGTGGATATGACCCTGGCTGATTTGATAAGCAAGGGATACGCTGTCAGCCTTCGTGAAATAACCATTCAGTGTAAGAACACCAAGGTGTATTATGGGATAGGTAAGGAAGAGTGTCAGTTGAACATCACGGAGCACGTGATCGAGTTTGAATGGTGTACGCGCTAGAATTCGACTAGCTGTAACTGGTAGTTATGATCGAAAAGCGCGGAACAAGCGCCTATGAACAGGTCTGCAATGCGTACTTTGGAACCGGCTCTGCGCCAGCTTAAAATATAGCTAATTTCATAAGTTCAAATTATTTTTGCAAAGGAACTTCATACAAGTCTTAACATACACAACACTTTCTATTAAAAACTGGTCAGAGAAAAAAAATTATATGTTAAGAGCTTTGATATATCTTGAAGTATATGGTCTGAACAACGTAGCGAAGAGGCCAATTGTGTTACGTTATAAACATTTTAATTGAATACGAAGTTGTCTTTCAAAAATACTTTTGAAATAAGTTAGGTATAAACACAGACAAGATCTTGTGATATACCAAGTCGATTCCGGTGAATGAATAATGATTCTTAGACAAACTAAAACAAGTAGTTTGAAAAGTCATAACTTTTCTTAAGCTTTGGAACACACACATTGCAAATGGCTACCTAATCACTCCGTAAGCGCAGCTTTAAGACAATAGAAATGTTTTCAAATGTGAAATAATCTGTCCATACATAAATAATCGATATTTATATAGGAAATAAGGGGATAAGGGTCGAAATAAGGTCAGTCCATCTTAGGACTTAGTGATACCGATGGTGCTTACAGTGCTAACTATCAACTTTGTTGCGCGCGCTCCTTACGTCGTTGCAAAATCATCCGTAATTTTTTTCTTACAAAGCTTGTGCCAACGATTAGTGTCAGAATTTCCCAAAGTGTATTGAAATACTATTATTTGTTTTGTTTTGTATGCTTGATTATTTTTCTTATTGTTTTACGTTTTGCAAGTCTGCCGTGACGGTATTGTAGGTGATTAAGAAGAAATATAACAAGTGTCCTGATCGAGGCATATGCCCGTGACTAGAAACGAAAAAATTAACATTATCACTAAATAATAAAAATGGTACAAAACACAAATCTGTCATTTTCTTTCTAATCGCCGAAGTGGAGGCAATCAGGCAGGAGAGAAGTCTCCCGTAACGTCACGAACTAAGCCAACACATCGTCAAGTTTTCCTAAATTTATAGTTAAGAGGAACGTTCGAACAGTAATTTTCTCGGATAGACAAAGCAGCGCGGTGGATTGAAGTAAGAGCGCGAAAGATACCTATTTCAGTCAACGATAAGATCTTGGGAGAGAGGACATAAAGCCGCAAGGGTTGTTAAGACTGTTTTAGTTTTCACATCGATAGCCCAAGCCTTACCACACTGTGCAGCGAGTGATCGGGCCGAATTACGTCCAACTGGTAACTTGCTAGGAAACTACTGTTCTTAAGTATCGAGTCTGATTTCAACATCTTCACTCCTTCATTAACCTCACAGCGTGGCTCTCTCGTTTATTTCAACTTCAATCAGTCTGGTGTGAATATACATGAACGGTCATCTTATCTGATAAGATATTTGTAATCTCCGAGAACAGCGCGCTCAACTTTAACTTGTGTAACATCCCTGACCAAACAAAAGACCATTGTTAAGCTCCTTTATCCTCAAAGATTGAGGCCAAGAACAAGATTTTACTCGCGACGCGTCATTTTAAATGCATGAGAAAAGCAGATCATTTCAAGATCAGTTTTATCATATATCTTCGTTATGAAAGGGAGTCTTCGGGTTTCTCGGAAATGGCCTAATGAAAAACGTGCCTGCCGTAAGTTCATTAGCATGTTCAGGAAGGTTCGTCGCGAAATAATCTTGTCTGAAGATACCCGAAAGGAAAACAATACGACACGAAACTAAACGACCACTCCTTTCCGGTAAACGTAAGGGCAGAAGACGAAACTGTGATGACGATATTAGTTGAAAAATGTCTTGTATTTGAAAACAAGGCAATAGCTATGTCTCTTCCTAAATACTGTGCTAGTTAAACTGTTGCATCTTCTTCCTTGACAACAGGTTTTCTATCTCTTCCTTTCTTTGCCTTCGCACTGGTCTTTCGTAGTGATCTCAGCAAAACGTAGTTTGAATATTTTGTGAAGCGGTAGGAGACAAAGGGAATATAAAATGCTCTGAAAAGTCGGTGAGATCTGCGAAAAGAAAGAACAGAGTCGTGTGAGACAAGGAAACTTGTTCTACCGAGGAGACCTTTGGTCATGCAGAGAGAAAAAGTTTTGGCAGGAGCTGGTCTGCTTAAGCTTACTAGGAAAATATTTAATCAGGGCTCAGTTGTTCAAAAGGCAAATCACACAATCCAATGGATGAATCACTATCCACTGGGTAAGTGTTAAAAAAACGTCATGCACTACCCACCGGATAGAGATCTATCTAATAAATGGCTTTGTCAACCCTTCAAACAACCGGGGCCAGGTTTCTCTCCTTTGACTTTAAGCAATTTTCAATATAAACAGGTAAACATTATCAGAGTGCAGGAAATTTTTTGAAAATGTCAAGAAGTCACAGAAGGCAACAACACTAAGTAGCATGGTAAAAAGTCTCCATTCATCCAAAGATACCATCGACAATATATTCAGGTATGTGAAGCTATGAATTACAAACTGTCAGTTAACTGCGAAACCGTGGAGCTGCAAGTTAGGACAACCACTTAGATGAAACTTCGCCCACCTTTGTAGGTTAACATGATCCGATTTGCATTTTGGGTCCGAAAAGTTTTAGACTATCAGACCTCTAACACGAGAGGAGTGACAATCAAATTTTCAAATAAAAACAACATTTCACAAATGATCACACTGAGAAAGGCGAAAGAAGTAAATTCCAAAATAAGCGAGGAAACTCTTGATCCAAGTTGCTATAAGTAGTTGTTTTCTCAACCACGTGAATCAAATTAAGGGATACTAATACAGACTCTCTGTTGGCCAAGGCGCAGACTCTGTTGATACTGCAAGCGGTTAACGCATGTCAAAACGTCAAACAACTTATGTTTTTAATCAACCTCAAATAACGGGCTTATCGAAGTTCGAGATCTGACAACGCAAATAGACGTTTTTTACTTTTCTTTTTTAGTACGACTGAACAATTACCTACCTTTCTGCATCCAGAAATGGCTTCTGAAGCACCACTTCCCAGTCCTTGGTTCGTTTCACAAAGTTTGGTTCAAGTTCAGTTTCCCTTTCTGTTTCTAAATCCACGAGGAAGTCACATTTTGAGATGGACATCTACAAAAGTTCAAAGCAAAAAAAGAGTGAAGGGCCTGGGCACACCAGGATTTTTAACAAGTTGCTGCCACAGATCTCTGTGTCGAACAACCTGCTGTGTGTTCCTTCCAAAACAAGTCGCTTCGACCCATTTTAGCGCAGTGATCGCAGCATGAGTACAAAACAGTTTGAAATAACGCGAATTTTTTCGGGGACAAAATTCTATCACAGAAAAAATATTTTCACAAAAGTTCAACTATTGAGACGTTGTGCGCCGCGTTGCAGGCACTGATCCACGCGAATCTATCGACTTTAAGAGGTCCACAATACAAGGTAATTCAAGCTAGATGGACTTTGCGTGGCAACTCTCTCCACGATGAAAAAATTTTGGGCCAGGAAGAACTGAGCGACGAATAACGAACTGGGCCCTAGTGTCTAGATACTTACATATCTTGAAGGCTCCTCTTCATTCATGTCATTCATATAGGTTGGTATAATTTTTGTAGCGTTGCGTCCGTCAGCATAAGGCTTTGGTAACTGACCTCGAAACTCGGAACGAATAAACTGTAGATGCCATCTATGACGAGGAAAAAATAAAACGGATGTGAATTTTATCATAAAAGAAATAATTCCTTTCGCTTTAGTCTGAGAGTGACGGGCCAAAGCTGACAGATCTCAAAGTAGTCGGGCTCTAGAAAAACCCTCCGGGTGAGGATTGGGCAAAGTACTTCACCAACTTTTTCCCCTTTTAGTCAGGGATGTCAGATCGCATTCCTTGTGGTGTTCTTTCTGCTGATTCATTTATTGCAGCTTATCATCCGCATGTAAAGCTACAGAGAGCCCACCAAAATTAGCCTTGTTCCCATCATGCGGCTCCGTACATCAGATGGCGGAAGACCCAAACTTGTATTGTGGTGTTTCTGAGTTCCAAGCTTCCTTTCAACAATTTCTCACATCAGAATTTTCTTTATTTCATTTAACTGCGAGCAAAATTGGACTACTTGAAGTAGCTCCCATAATAACAACAATTACCTTTCCGAGGGTAAAAAAAAGCTGCTGGGAAATCTGTACCACTCCTTTCCAACACACAGGTTTATTTGTTTGCCCTGAGGAAGGGGCTCCTCAAGTTTAGACGACATATGGTTCAACTCAATAAACAGGTCCATCGGTGCGTGGTAACCTAGACAACCAGAAAGAGAGTGAACAATCTTCAGATACGGTATCTGTCTGGAATTTTTCGAAGAACGATCCCATGTAACTACAAATATGCATTTTTGTGACTCAACTGTGGGAAAATTATTTCAAAATCCTTGCAAATACTTCTTAACATTATGATTCACTGCCTAGATTTGGCATGAAAAACAGGGTTTTTTTCCTGCAAAGATAACATTTCACTGTCACCTTGGTGATATAAGTTCAAGATATAATTGAAGGGTAAAAAAGTGAAGCTTTTTCAAACCCAACGCTTCAATCTGTTTCAGAATATAATAGGTCTCTGATGCTGTTTTATAAAATGTTGTGCCGCATAAGCTTTTGGTGTTGTAGTTACTCTCGCCGAATAACAATTATCCATTCGAAGACGGCTTTTGGCAATATTGGCAGACGGCGATAAATCGAGAAAGTTCGTTGGAAAAGGGGACATAATTGCACACGACAATCTCGAAAGGTGATCTGGGTTGTCAGTAACCAGTAAATAAATTCATCAAACCTACGATGCCTCGTCCGACCTTTCTCTTAATTAGCATTGCCTTGGAGCCGTGACCTAAAAACTACCCACAAAACCTTTCGGTGTTGTTGCGTGAACTTTTATGCTTTCTTCCGACAACTTTTCCAAGAACAGCTGTAGATGACAGTCATTTCATGGATATAGAGAGGGATCTTAGATTGTCCGAAGCCTTCTTCCAGTGTCACACAACAATTCAACAACTCGTTCCTCCGACACTGGCCATTAGCACTTTGTAATTAAACTGTGTCAGTGAAGGAGATCTCACCATAATAAAGAGCACTTGATCTTGACAAAGACAAAACTGAGAACACTACAGAAGCAGAGACTGCAAACCATGTGGAAGAAGCCGAGTAATGATGTCTGCTTCCGCTAAAGAAAAGCCCATGGAATAATTTCTGTAAAAGATACAAAAAAAATGCATGACGAAGACGCTGCCTTGCGTCATTGAAATGGTTACCTCAGACCTTTTTTAAGGCCTAACCAACACACATCCCACAAAACACATTCCACTGGCTGAATACGTAAAAAAAATTTGAGAAAAATTAGTTGCGTTTGTTCTCCTCTTGCAGGCGTCCTTTCCAATTAAAAGAAAATAAATAGAAACGGAGTATCATCTTTGGAGACTCAGAAACGAGTTTCCCTGACCCTTTCCTGATGTGGCTTACAGATAAATACTGTTTTCAGCACAGTAGTGACTGATACTGAAAGGAGCTTTTACACGTGGAAAGGGAAATATATATTTCAACAGACAAAAATAATTAAGCCGCAAGCTAGCTGGAGAACAAGCTACTCTTTTCCTTCGCTTTAATAGAAGTTAAAAAAAAAAGTTTTAATGTACTTACCTGTGAGTTGGTAAGCGTTACAGCTCCGAATAAACAAAAGAACGGATAGATTGGAAACAGAAATCTTTCCTCCTGTTACGACAAAAACGCAGACATATCTAAATCATCATTTTTTGTTATGAATTAGCTACCAATACTAGTTCATACTAGTGACATTTAACAAGGAAAGAGGAGCAAATGTCTAAATCTCCCATTAAGAACCACATCATTACACAGTCGATTTTGCAGACAATGATTACAACATAATTTCCTGCTCACGACAAACCTGAACTGAATTGTAACTAATTTTCCGCTTTGTACGTTTGAAAACACGTTTCCAGTTGGGTAAGTGATTAATGTCAGTTTGTACTTCAACTTAGACAGTACATATTCCCAAACATTAATGAGTAATCTAGTCCCAATACCTTATGAGGTCTTGTGAAGAAAATTAGAATCCAAATGTACATCCCCATAAGTGAAAGCCAAATTGGTAACACTGACGACGGAACTAAAAAAAGAAGGGAAATCCGTCAGTTCTGATGCATCACTAAATTCTCGTGACTTAGAGTAACATAGTGTTATAAGAAGTTAGGGAGACTTTTCCAGTTAATTATTGCAAAAAAGGGACTCAAATAAGACAGAAAACATCGAGACGATGGGAATACTAAGGTTGCTATGATTGCAGTTTCCTTGGAGACAGGAATCACAGCGCGAAATTACATGTGTATCGTTACGAAGTAGCTTCCCTTGACAAATTGGGCGTTATCACTGAAATGTTCCCCGCGAATCTTTTGAGAAGCGCAAACTTTCTATAAATTTCGGAACTTACTAACATCCCCGGTGAATTATTACGCGAAAGTTCAGACGGATCCAAACAATAGTTGACTCGAAAATTTGCGGAGATGTCGCCAAAAATTTTGTTTCGGGCATAACTTTTGCACTATACTATGATACCCTGAAGTCTATCATTATGGTTTATGTCATAAAGCGATGATCTAAAATCTTATTTTAAAAACAACTTTTGTTCATATACATTTCTTTTCCTGTGATTTCCCAGTCATCACCAGTTTAATAAAGACCTGTCAAACATAGATTGTTATCTGGTTAATAAATCACGTTTAACACACAATTAATGTGAGCATCAAAACACACAAGGGTCGTGACAGCATCATTTTCATGTTCCCCTGACATGGTCTCAGATTTTGCCAACGACAATAAGAAAAAAATTACTGTTTGTTAATCTTTAGAGACGGATTGAGAAACCTCCAAGATCCAAGGAAAAAGCATTTTCGATCAATGTCAGTATCTTAACAACTGCACCTTTACCCCTTCCTTACCCCAACAATGTTCATGTTGGGTTAGGGTAGGGGTAGGTACTAACATTGATCCAACCTTTCCTGTGCAATGCTAGATATTCCACTCAAGGTAAATAAACCACTGCACCATACGTTGGTGAAATCCTTTTCCATTTGCAGGAAATTTTGTGGCAAGCAGACACCAAAATTGTGACTCACACTGCATGTGCATCATACAACTGTAGAAACGTTTTGCTGCTATCACAGCTGCATTATTGTTGCTCGTTCAAACTTTCTCAGCCGCACAAAGCGTGCATGAACTTTCAAAATGATTAAATGTCAAGTAAAATTTATTTCACGCTTTCACGCATGCAGCTATCAATATTATCAATAAGGTCTTTTTGACCGTTCAAGTACTTACACAGGCAGGTAAAGCTAGCAGCGCCATAGGAAATACAATGTTGAAGTTCAAAAACCCATTTAAGAAGTAAAACGACCACGGCTCAACGCCTGTAAAATAAAAGTAACATATGCCACGTCATCTCTCTAAACAAAAAAATATTTCTGAAAATGTACAGGCAGATTCATCCTTTCAAAGGTTAGTCTACAATTTTCTCTTTCTCCTTCTCATTTTCTAAATTATGGGTGACCTTGACACAAAACCGTCTTCTTCTCTCTTTTTTCTTCACTCAGACCAAGAAAATGTTTGCGCTTTTGGGTAACAAAAGAAAATAAGAGCTTTCTAAATTCGCATGAAAATTTAGACTTAGCCCAAGGTGAAGAAAATTCGCGGCAGATTTCCTACTCTGTATTAACCCTTTGGCCCCTAAGAGTGACCAGCAGCTAATTTCTCCTTACAATATCACCTCTGAATCACACATTAATGTCATGAGAATTAAGGGAATGATCACCAGGTAAAGAAGCTCTGGACTGTTCAACAAATTGTCTTCACCTTAGGACACGTATAGAGAACAGAGTGGAGAAAATCCACACTGATCTCAGGGTGTAAAGTACCAACATTTTTGCCAGGCAGACAATATTTAAAGCACTGTTACCTGGCTCCATTTAATAAACTTAACCATTTATGTTACCGCTTAATACAGGTCTCACAGAGTAGGGTATGTTAACCCTTTAACTCCCATGAGTGACCAAGACAGAATTTCTCCTTACAATATCAATACAATATCAACCAGATAAGTAATAAGAATAAAGAAAAATATCAATTTGGGGATAATTTGTTGGTCCACTACGAAATTCTCTGAACTAACATTATAAGAATTGTATGGTTGAAAGTGAGGAGAGTTACAAATTTGATCTGGGAGTTAAAGGGTTAAAAATGACAAAAATTGATAAAAATCACTATTTTATGTCATAATTGACAACTTAATGCACACAGACTTGCTCAAAAAGTACTACTAATATTGATTTTGGGAGAAAAAAAATGTATTAAAGTTTACTTCAAATATTATGCTTAGTTTTATGAATAGTCAATACCAGTGGAGAACAATGCAAACAGGCCATTGGGACTCAGCAAAAGGTGATCACGACCACTTAAAAGAAGTGAAAATTACCATAAATAAGGGGTAACAATTTCCAAATTTTGAAAACCAACTGCTTAACACCAGATGACAACTAATACAGCGCTGCTAAATACACATTCCAATGTATGTATATATTTCAGGAAAAACCACAATTACAACTATAACTCAATTTTGCCAATCAGTGAGCAAGACACATTACAGAAATTACTCTCTTCCCATCCATACTCTCCCAGACACATTCAAGATACACAGATCATTGCACTTTTACTCTGCATGCAATGCCATCCATCAAACCTTACCATAGAGGCTTGGGCCACCTTTGCCAAATACATTGTACAGCACAATACCTAGGGGGGCAATCACGGTTTTGCCATAGAAAAAGGAATCAATATACACTAATGGTCCCTAAATGAACAATAAATAAAGAAATAAACATTAGTTACAGGTATCATATTAAAAAGTTTCAATCAAATGTCACATTGTACTATAGTATAGTTATCCAATACAAAAAGGCCCCCGCTTGAGCATCTACAGCTGTCCTGGCCAGCTTCTCCCAAGAGTTAACAGTCCCCCTCCCCACTGGCTTGCCAGCAGAAGGTCCACAAGGTGTTTGGCAAGAGAAATGAGAGCCCTCTCATTTTTCAACCTACACAACTCACAGACAGGCCATAACATAATTTATTATATCTCTCCATTAGTACATGCACTATGATTGGTCAATTTAGTGGGGCATATTTAACTGTCCGGCCTGCTAAGTTCAAAAGTTTGTTTGAATTAAAATGTTCCACCTCTTATTTGAACCAATAGATATAATATACATCTTTACTAGCCTTGTTTTTTTGGTCAATACTGTAAGTAATGGAACATGCAAGTTATGGCTCAAGCACTTTGCACTTGGGCCATTTTTGCACCCATCCTGATGCAAGAAATTTGGTCCATCACTTACAATACAGACATCAAATTTGGCTAGAAAGAGATATAAAGTGATGACTCGTACAATTCAAAATACTCAAAACTAACACAATTGATGTATTGCAAGTCTGTACAATGCAATACATTGAAAAGTAAATATTAAAATATGCTAATTAAAGCATTTTATTAAATTACAGAAACTTTTGATTGGTTTGCTTTATATCATTTTTCACTTGTGAGAAAATTTTTTAACATGAACATACATAGGTACATTTACATACACTGTACATGTGCTCAAGGGAAAAACTAGAGTCTATATTGAACACTGAATTTTGATCACATTTAATAAATAAACATAACAGAAAAGATGTGCATAAGATATCTTTGCAGTACTCACCAGAAATACTATAAGTGATATAAGGCATAATTGTATAAAATACATTATTTTTCTTTGACGTACTATGATGTCCCATGCGATAGGAACTCTGAAACAATACAAGAAAAAACAAATCAATAGAATCAAAACAGTGCACTTTGAATATGAACTTATCACTGATAGTTTCAAGGAAACTCAGACTTGCAGTGAATTTCTTTTCAATGAAATTGAGAAATTGTAAATTTCAAACCAAAATTTGTATATATTTATTGGCTTATTTCGGTTGAGCTGAACAGGAAAATATTTGGCCCTTAGTCACAATGCATGGACCTTGTTGCTCTTTGTCTGTACATCATAACCTTGAGCGAAATGTTTTCCCCTTCCTGCCCTACTGAACTCAGTCAATAAGCATTTTAATACATCAACATTAATTAATTAATACATTGAACATTAGTACCCACCCAAGAACTGCACTAAAAGGCCAACCAATCAGGGAACCAGCTGCTGTTGCTAAGACAGCCACCTATGATGGAGATAATAGATTAAGCACTGCAGTATAACAAGACATTTTTTAGCACCTTTATCATGTTGTCTCAAAATTTTTTAAAGCCTGGTAATACTTTCAAACTACAGCTTACATTGCTATACACAAAATGAATTATTTATTTTTTTCACTAGTGTATCTTTGCAACAATACATGCACTATGGAATCAAACACCCTTATTTTGTCTGGGTATGACCACTGAGCAGAACAATGAACCAAACCAACCATTAAACCCACTTCCTTCTGAAGGGTAGAAAAGGCAGGTTCTGATTCCATTCAATACATGAATTTTAGAAAAAATTCACCCATCATCTGTAATATTAGCAGCATTTCAAGCGTCACAATTTAAAACAGTACACTTTAAATCTCACCCCATCTTGCCTTTCTGTAAAATTCACCCATCAAATATTACAGTGAATTTAAATTTGGGCCTAATCAGATGCCATGTTTAAAATCTTTACCTCCCTCCCTCAAAGTACAGTCCTGTAAAATAGCTATTATATCACAAATAATATCAAACAAACCCTCGTCTAAAGTCCAAGAAATTTTAATATAGCAGAAAGTCATCAAAAAATTCATACTTCAGTTGAGAGGGAAGCATCGGTGATTTATGAATTAAATAAGAGGCTTATTAAAAATCATATATCTTATACAAATATTTATTTCAGTCTAAACAGTACCTGATTGAACAATAATTCACTTATTGAGTGATAAACATTCAGTAGCTATAAAAAACAAACTAAACATTATTTGTAAACGCTATCATAAAAAAATTGTGTATCCTGATCAATAACTTACAGCATAATTTCCTGAAAACCATCCTCCATAAGATAAAATCACCATGTACATAGCAAATGTACTGGGTA